TAGGTAAGTAGTGAATATATAGAACTGGTAGAAGTGAGGTCAGGAGTGACCCATCTGTTTACTTGAAAGTACTTAATGGCCCTACAAAAGAATGAAAAGAAACCTCTTCCTTGAAACTCTAGTCTCACAGAGCACAATGGAGGTGGTCTTGGTGTGAAAAAAATTAGCCAAACTTGGAGGAAGCCTCAAGCTCTCTTGGCACAAAAACTGTTCTGAACTTTTTTCGGAGCTGTTTACTTTCTAGACTATTTAAATAATGTTAAAGTTTCTTCAGATGTGGTCAGAGTTGGTTGAAGGGGCAGTTAAACTTTCCAGGCATTGTAACTCCCTTCAGTGGTTTGTGAATACAAAGGTCTTCTATTTCCAGGCTTTTTAGCCCTTTAATCTTCACAGGCACAGACGTTCAGACAGAGTTTTTATACAAAGAACGGAAACCCAAATCGTTTAAGCTGGTAATATTTACACTTACCATGTACTGTAAAATTCAAATGGTTTACTACATCTCTGATTAAAGGCTTCCAAGATACACTGAAGGATTAAAATAGCTGAGCATACTAACCAGGCAGACATGTACACATTGTGTCATGATGTTTTGTTTGGCCTCTGCTTCATTTTTCTCCTAGCCTTGAGAGAGCTGAGAAGTTATCTGCAAGTTTTAGGAGGTTTTTTGGTAGGTTGATTTGATCAAGCCACCAATGTTCCACATGTTTCTTGTAAGACGCGTAAAAAACGTGGTGGTTGCAAATTAACATCTATAAAAGGGACTGTAAAGACTTTCTGCTGGGAAATTGTTGTGGCTATATAGGTATGGTCTTTATTAGAAATCAGCTGAGCTAATACTGGAAGAATATTCCTTTAAGATGCTTAGACTGGTGAAAGAATTAAACCAGGTCCCTAGATGTGTTTTACAACACTGGTAGGGAAATAGGATTATGTTACACTTGAACAGGTTCTGAAGCTTAAACTACAGTTTCCTCAGCCCATTCAAAATTGGGCATGCTCTGCTTTGAACTGCTGATGTGTAAAGGAAGAAGAGTGTCCCTGCAACTGCATTTTTGAAAGCCTACAATCAATTCACTTTGCCATTCACTGCTAGAAAGGTGACAGATAGGAAGATACTTAGTGCATAACAGCCATTATGAAGAAAATTTCTGATTTAAAGAATTTTTGATAGCAACTTGATAGGAATTAGTACAGATGTAGAAATTGCAAGCACTTGAACACTGAAAGCTTGTCTTTTCTTTACATTGTTTACTATACAGTTGTACCTAGTGCGATGTATTACTTCCACTTGCAAACTTTGTCCTGCTATATAACTGAAACATGTATAGGAAAAAAAGGGCTGGAATTATGGGGTGAAATTGAGGGGGAAAATAGATTGAATTTGTCTAGCAAAATATTTGGTTGTTAATTTGCTGTAGATAGAGATCTTTTTGACAGTGCATTTATAATCAGAATGAGTATTACTAGGTTACCTAGAGAAGTAATCAATCATGAACTATGGGAAAGTAGATTAAGTGGGTTAGTTGATCTCCCCCTTTTGCAGGCTATGTGATTCTTTTAAAGAAATTACTTTCATAACTTAACTTGGCAAGGAAAATTCACTATGCATTTCACTTGTTTCTGAGTGCAGGCTCGAACTCTTCTCTTAAGAAAGTGTGCTGTTTAATGGCTAAGTTTTAAAGGGAGAGGAGGAGGGACCTAGTGTCAGGAATCTGAGTGTGTGGTGTTTCTGAGATGACCTGGAATACTTCAGCTGTCTCCTATAGCTACCTGTAATTTCTTGGATGTATCCTAGGGCTGTGGTAGAATTCATTACTGGCTACAAAGGGACTTGGAAATCACTGGAGAGAAGGATGGAAGTGACCTGTGAGCCCGGAAGTTCAGCTCCTCTACCCCAGGCAAGGGTTGATTTTGTCTTAGTTGTTCCTGGTAGGGATTTGGGATCGGCCTCTGTGGTGCCAGGATCTCCTCAGGCAATCTGTTCCATGCTTTGTTTGCCTTTCCACTAAGTAGTTTTTCCTGCTAGCTAATTTGGATCACCTCTGATTAAATTTAAATCCGCTGTTACTTTTGTGTTGGCTTGAGACGTGGAGAACGATTTGCTGCAAAGAGAAAAGGAATGGTTCTTTGGTGTTTTGGGTTTTTTTTTTTTTTAATGTAAACTGTTTGGAAGACTCAAGATTGCCCCCTGTATTTTCCATTCTTTAAGCAAAGCAGCTTCTATTTAGTCAGTCTTTTATAGTAGGCTACACAATATACACCGAGTAGATTGTGCCATTAATCATACCATCTTCTCAAAAGATTCGTTTGTTCCACCATCTTTCTTAAAATAAGAAAACAGACCTTGGTTGAAAATAAAAGTGCATAACCTGGTTTGCTAATGAACATTCCCATCTCAGAATGTTGTCATTTTATAACCAAGTAGTAGTGATGAATTTGTATGTCAGTATAAGACATGCTGTTACTTTTTGGTTAGTTTTATTATTACGTTCTTACTTAACTAGCTAGATGCTATGTCTTAACTAGCTCATGCTATGTCTAGATTTGTTTTACTGTGGAGATTAAGTGGTATGAAATTTCTTTACACTGCCTTCAGTCATTCAAAGTGCCATTTTATTGGAAACAATTCTTGCTGCAGTGAAGTTTGGCAGTCAGAAGGTTCTCTCTGCAACAGGTCAACACTTGTCGTTATTATATCAGTTTCCATTTCTACATAATGAAATATTTGTTATGTTAGTGGTGACTTGAGTTGCTTGTAGACTAGCACGTTTTAGTTGTTGCCTGCATGAGTGTCTTTGGCTTTAAAAAAAACCCAGAAGAAATTAAGGAATAGTTCAGACAGATGAAACCTGACTTGTCTGATGACAAAGGACTATTCATTTTGTAATAACTAAATTTTACTGCAGGCCAGGGTCAGGCCAGAAGAGTGGCTCTGTGTGTAGCCATTACAATTTTGTGTCTGTGGTAGAGATACATTAATGTGTAGTGTAAATATGAACAGTGAATATTCACTGAAAAAAAATCACAGACTGAAGAGTAGCTTGTTTAGTGGGACAAACCGTAAGCCAGCGGTGTTCTTACTGGATTCGAAAGCCAAGGTAACAGCCAGAAACTGAGACATTGTTGCATGTTATTCATAATTTTGACATTATGTGGTATTAGGATGTACACGCTAATGGATTTAAAAGGCTGATGCCAAATGGGGTACCCACATATTAAAACCAGAGACATCTGCTCCTGTTTTCAGATAACATTGGAGAAATGGGCAACATAAGACACTAATGCAGATGCTTTTTATTATTCAGAAGTTATAATTAAATGTAGGTTTTTTCTGTGGTGGGTGACGAAAGTGTGAGAGCAACCTCAGAGTGGGGAAACGTTTTAGATTATGTAGACCACAACTGATTACTACACAGCAGCACCACAAACCCTGCGCCGGCTTGCTTTTTCATACTGTTATGGTGCATTCAACCATGTTTGCAAACCACATTCCACCAAAGCCTGCCATGTTTATAGCTAGCTGATCAGTCATGTATGCGTAGGTGGTTTGCAGTTCAGTTAGTGACTGCGCAGGTTATCTGTGACTAGAGGCAAAGTATGTAGATGTTAATCTTTTGCTATTATACAATAATGTTTGAGGCATAATTATTAATGGAAGTTATGTGTTTAGGTTATCCTTTGAAGGGGGCAGAAGTGACATACAGTCAGACAAGGCTGTCTTTGCAAAGCTCATTTTGAGGTAGCTACACACTTGAATAGGGCTGGAGAGGTGTGTCAAGCATGTGATTGTGGACAGTGCCTTTTTTGTCTCCTAATTGAATTTATCTGTGCGTATACTTGTTGGTACAAAGATTATTCAGAGTATAAATCAACTATTAAACGATGCTTATTTAAAATAATGTTTGGCATGTTAATAATTGCGAGAATTGGACTTTGAAAGCCTACTTTGAAGGCTTGTGATTCAGCCAGTTGGGCAAGGGAAGCAACAGAAAAACTATGCATTTCATGAAAATGCATCTGATTTGTGCAGCAAAGTGGAGTGCTCTGCCTAGCATGGAAAGAGTGAGGAATCCTGATATATCTAGTTCCAGGAATAGGTAAAACTTGCAACAGAAGTCCTTAGGGAGGTGGGGATGGGTGGTTGTAACTTCTGGCTGTGTTGGTATCTTGCCAACCACAAGGTCAGGATATTTAAATGTTTCGCATAGCTTGAGGGGTTAACTCTCTTTAAGGTAGCAGTCCCTGCCCTTCCTAATCCTTCCTAGTTTACTGCAAGAGGAAAACCTGCTCTCTTTGGGGTTCTTCTTTGTTTTGGTTTCCCTGTGCTGCTGAATGGTGAGTATGGGCACTGAACACCCAAGGCCAACAATTTGTCCTGTCTCATTGGATATGATGGCGATTTTCTGTGAGTGCTGGGTTGGGCAGGTCATCTTGAATACCTCTTTTCTGTGAAGCATTAGTATGGGGGTGGAGGAAAAGTGTTAGTATAACTATAGCATTTGTTGGCTGGTTGGAAATCAGCCTGTCCTCTTACTTTTTTGCTTTCCTAAAATGTTCCACGTTAGATGTGAGATCCTGAAATGCTATTGCAACCAGCAGGTATCAGAGTGGGAGAGAGCAGTCAGTGTCTGTTGACCCAAGTTCCTTACCAAAAATGACCTAACTTCCTGACTTTGCTAATATTCTAAGAGTTTGCAATCTCTGCATCTTCAAGGTTTGCATTACACAATGTTTTCTGTTGCTGAGAACTGAAGAAAGTCTATTGCTATCCAGATAGTAAAAAAAATACTTTTGGTCCAAATGGTCAATGGCTGTAGATCTCCTCTTACACTGGCAGAACAGGCAATCATTTGATGGGGGATGAATAAGACAAGTTACTTTGTACGTTGTTCCGTTTCGCTTCTGACTGCAGAGTGAATGCCATAAGAAGGATATTAATGCTCTCCTCGTATTACAGCGTGGATTCTTGTTCCTAAGTCAATCTGTTGTGTCTACAGGTTCCCCAGAGGATAGAAGAGCAAAGAGATGCATCTGAGGATAGCGGTGCAGGAATCCCAGGCATGTGGGGAAGTTGGGGCCCCTGGTCTGCCTGCTCTCGGAGCTGCAGTGGTGGTGTGATGGAGCAGACACGGCCCTGCCTCTCCCCCCAGCCTATTACCGGGAAAGGGGCTACCGAAGGCCAGGGCGGCAGTACCCGGCCTCAGAGAGAACTCTTGCCCATCAGAATTCCCGCCACCACGAGGACTCGCTGACTGCTTATCCCGGCCATGTCATTTCTGCCATCCGTACATCTGTGCCACTTCACAGGAATGAAGAGCAGCTTTGGGCTGGCCTTCGGGCCTCTGCTTCTTCTGGAGGCTATAATAACAGCCACCTGAGCAGAGGAGCATTGAGAGGCAGCAGGCATTCTCAGTCCCAGAGGCAGAACACAAAGCCGGAAAAGAGGTATGTGTCTATGCACCATTTTCTTCTTGCTATGACTGGTATAGCTTAAGAATGACATCTCAGATTAGAGTTGATATTTTTTAGTACTTACAAAAGGATATTAAAGACTAAGACTGACTTTTATAATGTTTGCCATCTTCTTTGGAAGTCTGTCCTCTCTGCTGCCTACTTATATGATAATATCCAAGGGCAGGTATAATTATTCTATAATTGCACTAGGCAGGTTATTTCCCTTTAAGTGATGATTTATTGAGATATTTTTCTGCTACGCTTTCATTTGACATTTCTATCTTCACCATAATAATAAAAATCAGAACAAGTAACAGCTTTATATTTGGATTCTGAACTTCAGTGGCCATTCTGATATTGAGTGGAAAGAAAAGTTTTACTTCCCCCCCACATTTCTCACCCCCACACCCAAGAAGGGCCAACTGCCCATTCTCTTGTCTTCTAGTCAAAATTCTAGGTCTGTTTTCTATTTTTCAGAGGCTTTCTGTTTATGGGCTTTTTGTTTTCTCTGTTCCCTTTTTTGTTTTCTACCATACTGCTTGTCAAAATTTCCTGTTCGATAAAACTAAAAAGTGTGATTGTTTAACACACAGAATATTTTTAACACCACATCTGTTTGTATCAATTTCATAGTATTAGCTGTTCAGTCTTTAAGGAGGTGTGGAACTGTGCTGTTACAATTGATTACAATTAATTCTCCAGTTTCTGGAGAAACACTTTTTTCTCTTCTGTGATACCAATCTATCAGGTTTTTCTATATATGTATGAAAGGAAAATAGATGTGTTTCCAGTTTGGAAACTGTGGAGAACAGACATGTAGGTCCCTTGGGAGGGAGTGTTCCTGAAACACCTCTATTCTGTCTGTCTTTTCTTAGAATATGTATACCAGCAGTTGTCTGTTTCTTTCCTTCTCAGCTCTCTTCTGAGAGATGCATGGGGAGGTGTGTGTTTTATTGGTTTAGTTAACAAAAATCTCAAACCAAACCAAACAAAAAAAAACCCCAACATCTCAAAACCCCCAAAATCCTCCTTCATATCATGTGCTTCTTTAAGATTCTCTGGTGAAGCTGTCAACTGTAATTCCTTTTAAAAGACGTCTTGCTGACCCAAACAAAAAATAAGAATGTTACCTTGAGGCAATATTCCAGCCTGACTGGAATAAGACAGTGGGACCCTCTGTTGCTGCTGATAAAGACATCCTCAGACCCAGGAAGAAACTCTCTCCATCTAAAAGGATATTTGAAAATCAAAATTAACCTGTTAGCCTCCTGTTTGTCTCAGTAAAGTATATGTTTCCAAAAGTGGTACCAGCTGTTCAGATGTTGATCTTCCTGGGTGTTGGCCATTTCCTTTAATCACTGCTTTGTCTTTCTTTCAACCCCATGCACATGGATAGCCTAGACCTGTGGAGTGTAACTTCAGCGTGGCACTGATGCTCTTATAAAAAACCCCAGCGTGTGCCAGAGGCAGGCTTTTGGTAGCAGTGTTAACATGACTGCATCGAGACAAAAGTCTTAGTATTTTCTTTTTTCTGTTTTCCAACTTGATCATTTACTATAATGCACTTCTGTTCTCAGCTGCACAGCGTACAAGATACAGGTTGTAATACATAGCTGGGTTATTACCGATGCTGGAAGCCTGGCCTTGACCCATCAGCACAAAGTCATTGAAAGCCTGTTTGCTCCAGCCTCTTGGCACCCTCACGCTCCAAGGGGATCTCAGCTGGCCTGGCCTCTGCAGCAGACCTGCTGCCAGGCTGCTGGTACAGCTGGGCTTCCATCCCTGCAAGCTACTCCTTGCTGCTGTGGTGGCCTCTGCAGGCAGGCCAGGAGAGTCTGGAAAAGATTGAAACAATCTCTGCAGTTACGGCTGGAACATGAGAGGACAGTGAGCAGAAAATAATACTGACTGTGTGCAGAAGTGGAGCTGTGTTATTTCCTAATAAATGCCTTGACATATGAAATATTAAAATGACCATAATGTCTGTTGTGCTTCCACGTTCCTGTATGATGGAGGTCTTTGCTTTTGAAAGTTCTTCTGCTTTCCTAAGTACAGTGTAAGCTTCTGTACCACAGTTGATTTTTCACCCCCCCCTCCACACTGTTCCTTGGCAAAAGGCTGTGGATTCATGGTTGTTTTTCTAATCTATTTGCATATTAAGTTGTTTCCATCTTGTGTTAGGAGGGTCCCTGGTGGCTTTAAAGCCTGTTGTATTGTGTAACTTTCAGATTCTTTGGTGGTGATTGTAAAAGCAGAATAAGAACAAAAAAATGTGATTTGCAAATGAAATTATTAGAATGACAAATCTAATAATTTTCCTTAATTTACAAAATCCAGAGTACAAACCTTCTGGTCCTATCAGATATATGGAAAATGGATTTCAAATGTAAGTTACTTTAGAAACAATTTTTATAGCGTAGAACAGTGTTCAGTGTTCACTAAATGGGTGATACTGGAAATTGATGTCAGACTTAAAAAAATCTGTGTTTTCAGAATGTGTACAGTCACTGGAAACTTTTTTGGGTATTCCTATTTCCTGTACTGGACTTCATATAAAAGCTGTAATTTTAATGGACTTCCATAAAACAATAAAAAAGGAATGGATATTTGTGACTGAGATAAGCTCACATTTGATAGCATGGTAAGACGAAATTGGATGGCTTCCAAGACAAATAGGTTTTGACAGCAATAGCAGTCCTTCAAAGTAGGCAAATACGTTGGTATCATTCAGCAACAAGTGGAAAAGTTCTCTGTCTGCTTCCGGCAGCTGACAAAGAACTGTCCAGTTTATTTGTATATCATGAATTTTGACTTACCTCATCTGTGAAGAGGATATTCACATTATCAGCTTTCGAAAGTCAGTTCACATGTGATTCAGTTAGGTTTTAGAAACCAAGGCTGCACTTGAAGCTCAGCAAAGGAGATTCGAGGTACCTACAATTAGAAGCCTAATTTTTAAAGTTTAAATGATCCCTTTTTTCTCATAGTGCTGTAAGAAGAATTTTTGCATAACTGAAATGTGGTAGGAAATTATAGTCAGCCATTGGAATGAGGATGGAAACACAGAGCTGATGATTATGTGGGTTGTCCATTGGCAAAGGAAGGGAGCTCTTCTCGGCTTTGAAGAGTTGGATTCCCATGAGCACAGCCTTGTTTTTAATTTCACCTAGCTAAAATGTGTGGAGCATACCATAAAATGAGAACAAACAGGACTGAGGAGATAGTGAAAAAATATCGAAGCATTTAGACATTTTAGAGAGAGGAACATACAGAAAAGTAATAAGGGCATGCAAAAGGATAGCATGCTGTAAGAGAAAACATATCTCGAAGGGAAATATCATTAATGGACTAGGTTTTAGTAATACTTAAAATTTTCATTTCCAATTTTCCATTTTGGTGCTAGAGAAGACAAAACTGCAACTTTAGATAGATGTACTGAGTGTTGCAATGCTTGCAACTGCTACCTTCACGTTCTATACAACTGGATTTTCATGGTGCAGCAGCAAAACTACTGTGTTCACCCCTGTAAGATGTGCACTTTATACATGATTCTTAGGCAGAAAGAAAAAAGTTACCTTTATCACCAGAATAATTAAGTAAGTAAAGCAAAGAGATATATTAATAAAGAAATATGTTATAAGGAAAGGGCTTCCCTAAAGCTCTTTTTGTAGTTGGAAGAGGAATGAGAGGAAAGATTTGCACTGAGGAAATAATCCAAAAATCATCAACTTCTCGCATGGCTATAGCTCTGTGGTCTCTATATTCTGTTGCCAGCAGCTGACGTGAAAGTCTGCTGTACTGCTTTGTACCCTCTATAGGGTCAGTTTGCATTTCTAGGCATGTGAGCAATGGAAAGGAAGAGTGTATCGTTTAATGTCAAAACAGAATTTCCTTGCTGAAAGTATTTCTTTTGCCCCTGGCTCACAGATGCTTTGACCAGGCAAATGTAGGTCACTCAGTTGGCAGGTCTACAATTAGCCTTTAAAGGGACAATTCTGTTGTTATTTGCTTAACCAATTTAAGCATCATTACTGCATATTCTGATCCTAATTTCTGTGACCTGTTCTAGTCAGGCCCAGTTTGTAGAGGTGGACAAACATGTGGTTGCTGGACCTTTAGGTTCAAGAGGTGTTATTTTTTCAGGTTCTGAGGCTTTATATTTGTTGGCGTGGGTATTTGCTTAATATTTGGAATGAAACCCAGCTCAAGTACTTAGCCATCCCTCCTTTCATTATTTCTTTAATAGAATAAAAATGTGATGCATTTTATTCCAAACCCGGTGTGGTTATAAAAGCTTATTGGGGATTGGTGTGTATGTGCAGGAAAAAGACACAGAGAGAAGGATTTAGTTCTTTTCTGAGGGTAAATTTTCCAGAAAATCCAAGAGCAGCATTAGTAATCAAAGAATTCATTTTGGTAGCACTTGGGAGATTTAAAATCTCATCAGAAAGGTGCTTATTTTCCTTCTGAAAAAAAATTCCAGACACGTTCTAATAGCAATAAAGATCATGTGAGGTATTTCCTGGCAAAATGAATAGCTACCTGGGGTGATTGTGGCCTCAGGTTGACTTAGTGCTGTCCCACCTCTCAACTGATTATTAGTTCCTCTGATATGCTCTAGGTCTCACTTATTATTACCTAATCAGTAATTTTTTTAATTATTCTACTATGAGCATACTTTGGAAGGTTTTACAAAAAATAAAATCTAGCATGATTCTGTAATTGCAAGCTGCCCGCGAAGCTTTCTTAATTTTGCTGCTGGACATTTCAACCCTTCCTGAAGTGAATTGACTGAAGGAGGGGAGGGGAAGTGAGAATGCTGCATCAGTCGGACATGAGACAGTGCATTTTACCAATGAGTTATTGCCCAGTCAGTAAGGGGTAGAAATGCAACAAAACTCCCATCATAGATGTAATGCATTTATGTGGTTACTTGAGTTGAATTTCTGCTGATTTACTTGCCAACTGCATGGTCACATTATTAAATCAAA